TGCTTTCTTTGTCTGACTGTAGATTAAAACACCATGTAAAGCGTAAACCATGGTTATACTCTCAGACCCTTATGTACCCCCTGAGAAGTGCAAATGTACCCCAGGTTGGGAATGTCTGCTCTACCTGTTAGGGTATTATTGCCAAGTATTGTTTTTATGTTAAGTCATGATCCTGTGGATTTCTAACTTTTATTTTATTTTATGCTACAGTAAGTTTATAGGTGCTATTGTTTTTGGCTTAAGGTGTGATGTTATCAAGCTGCTACTAAATATTATCATAAGGCCTAATGGTTGTTAAGCTCTAATATGTATCACTTGTGTCTCTAACTTTATCTAAAACAATGAGAACTAATAAATATTGAAAATTATATTTCAATAACTGATGTGTTATCATTAGGTGTTTTTTTTTTCTTCTTTAGTTTACTAATCTTGTCTGTCAATATCTGGGTCAGTCTTAAGTTTTTTTCTTTCAGGGTCTCTCAGATTGAGTTCTTACTCTTACTTCAAATTATGTTACGTTATGTATTTGATGATTAATGAATAGAGAGTAAAATCTGTTTTTGTTAGAAATTTATTTGTATTGTGATATTTTTGCCATTCTTTTTATATTTCACTGTAGGATGCATATTTTGTTGTTATTAAAACCTATTTAAAGTTATTTTAATAAGACAATATCATTATATTGTTTCTTTATGTACCATGCTCACTTCATGCTGTATCAATACTGGCCAGTATGGGTGGATACTGTCAAAATTTTTGTATTATCACATTTCTTGAATATATTGTGATATGTATTGCTATATTTTGAGTATATTATTTTAATTAATGTCATATATTCTTGCCATAAAACAGAACTACAGCGGAAAGACTCGCTTTAAGTTAAAATTGGACACCATATATCACCAAAAATGCATTTATGTTATATCAAAGACAGACCTATTATATTGCTGTAACGTGTTCTATAATTTGGTGGGTTCTTTTGGATTTTCTGACACGATATCTTACCTCCTCTCACACAATAGTTTTTCTTGACTTGTACTGCCCTCTATATGCACAAATTTTCACTCCCAATTAGCCTTGATACTCTTATCTACTCTCACATATTTCACATGAGGCAGCTGCATGATAGCATGTAAATGAACATGCGACAACCCTCTACCAGTAGGAGTTCAACGCACCCTCCTAGTGCAGCCGACTCCCTCTATGAAGTAGAACCCATTCTTCACTTCAAGATTAGGCACGAAAAAAAAACCAAACACTGGAAGTAGGGAGGAAGGATGGGGAGTGTTAGATCTATCAGAAGTACATTTTCAATGTAGGAAAATACTAACATTTTGTAAACATCATGCAATGTCCAATTCATGTAAGTAGCAAATCAGTTCATTTATTCTGTAGTATTTACTACTGGCTGTGGTCATTAGTAGGCTTAAATTAACAAACAACATTTGAACAGAAATTCTTAGACTAATAGTACATGTAACTCACAAATAAACATACTTGCAGAATTTCTTCAATAATCAATCAATAACAAACATGCTGACTAACTCACTATCTAGCTTACTAATTGATATTGAGCAATTTGATGATTTGGTCTGTTAAAATACTCATTCTAAAGAACTGACCAAACAAAATGAATGAAATTATCATCTGCTGTGTAAGATACATAGGAATTAGTGGGATTAAATGCAATATTGATGATGTTTTTGTTTTTCGTATAACCCCCTATGTTATTAGGAACCCTGTAACAAAAAACAACAACATGGAATCACAAGCATTTTGGTGCATAAGTAATGTAGAAGAAGGTTTTTACAAATCCAATGGACCCGTCTATGTATTTATCTACTGTAAAAAAATACCTAGAGATGCACCAACTCCATACAGAGCAACAGATCAAATACTGAAGCAAATAATCTGTCCAACTACAGCAACAGATCAAATACTGAAGCAAATAATCTGTCCACCCAAAGCAACAGATCAAATACTGAAGCAAATAATCTGTCCACCTATAACAACAGATCAAATACTGAAGCAAATAATCCATCTACCCTGAGCAACAGATCAAATACTGAAGCAAATAATCTGTCCAACTACAGCAACAGATCAAATACTGAAGCAAATAATCTGTCCACCCAAAGCAACAGATCAAATACTGAAGCAAATAATCTGTCCAACTACAGCAACAGATCAAATACTGAAGCAAATAATCTGTCCAACTACAGCAACAGATCAAATACTGAAGCAAATAATCTGTCCACCCAAAGCAACAAATCAAATACTGAAGCAAATAATCTGTCTACCTATAGCAACAGTTCAAATACTGAATCAATTTTTTTTTCTGATGACAGTACATATAAACATACCAAAATAAATAAATAATTTTGGGTTGATGATCCTATGTGCTTGAAATTTTCATACAAAATTCACATTTTAGAATATCTATATGTTTCTGAAATAGTTAAATAAATTTTCAAGTAAATAATCGTATTCTGCCGAATAAGTTTAGGGTGAGAAAATTTTAATTGCTTTTTTAATATTTTTGTAAAATATTACTATTTAACATCTAAAAAAAATCATAAAACAAATACAACAGTATTTCAAGAATTTATAAAATCTTTATTAGCACCAAATGGCAAAAGCTGAATACAAAACTCACCCTGCATCCTGAGCTTCATGTGCCCTAATAATTGACAGAAGATTATTTTGCTGAAGAAATTCACAACATGCTGCATAGCTAATGGAAGAAAAAAGAATATAGTATACCATATTTAATGAACCAGTGCCTTTACATGTATATACCTAATGGTGGATTAAGCTTAGTTGAATTGTGTCAAATCTTCACATGAAATGTCTTAAAATATGACTAACAAAGTAGGAAACACAGCTTAATATAAAATTGAACATTTTTTTATTAGATTATTATTATTTATCTTACCTAAACTAACCTAAAGAGTTTCATATTTTTACATTTTAGTTACTTTTATAATAATAAATAAAGAATATAAATGAAAACAAGAAATAAAATACTTATCTTGGCTGTCTTCTTTTTTGCTGTTGACTGTCTACAAAACTTAACCCAACTATTTTTTATGTTAACAGCAGTAGTGCACTAAATAATTTTTATTTAATTAAAGAACACAGAATAATAACATGCAAAAATCAGACAATGTCCCATAACTATCACAATTTTTTGGGCTTTCTAACTATGCGTCAAAAGCCGTTACAAATTCATCCAAGCTAGTCCATATGTTTCCCGTGGGAACTAAGCTTGTATTAAAAGAAAAATTTACAATTCTCTGTAAAGAAAACATTGTAATATAAGCCACTGATTATAAATAATACAGTATTAAATGTAAAAAACAACTATTACAAATACTGAAAAAGAGTATGTAACAGGTAGGTGTGACAATAAAGGTCTGATTTTCTATTTTGATGGCTCTGTAAACAAACAAGATTGAAGACTAGGAAATTATGCTTTGTTTGAGTGATGATGATATTATAGTGAGTAATTTACATTAAATTTCATATTTAATGGAGGGTTGGTGAATAAATTAGAGAAGAGGAGATACCTAGAGAAACAAAATGTCACATTTTTCACGCTATGGGAAATTCATGCTTTTTTAAATATTGCTTTATAAAATTAAGAACTTAAACTTGTATAATATTAAATATGGATTATTAACTAAAATTTTAAGCTGTACTAATTAGTATAACATAAATGAAAAGTAGTTTAATTAAATATTGAACATAACTCACTAAAAACCTCGTGACATGTGCAGAAAAGTATGCCCATGATGAGAGGGTTAAAGTAGGTTTTTCATTCATTATCTTTATGATGTTCCTGTTAAAGCAGGTTTTCTATTCATAATCTTTAAGAGATTTCATGTTAAAGCTGTAGAAATTAAAATTGAGACTAATTGAACTTTGACCCTCAGTTCAACAAAGTTGTTATCAAAGAGATGTAGATTTAAACCTCATCTGATATCAATTTTCACTTCTGAAACATTCTAAACTTACAGGACAGTACACCACCAATGAAATTTTTGTAATGTTATTATCAAATTCTTAGGTTTGTGTACATTTTAAACATAGCATATTACTTACTGTTGAAAGTGTTATTTAACAAAATGTCTCTTCAAACTTTCTAAAGTTTATATATAAATGGCTAACATAAATCAAAGACAGTTGATGAAACAAAGAACTGATGTATGTGTTTTGAAGTTGTATTCTTTCTTTAATGTTACTTTCATTAACAGTATTGGTTTATAGAATGTTTAATATATCTCTTTTTATTCTTTTCACTTTATTATAGAGAATATTTTGCATTAACTTAATATATGGATTTTAAGACTAAACTAAATATCCTGGGTTTATGGCCAAAAACATCACTAACTATTTGGTGAAACAATGCATTCTAATGTTTATAAGGAAGATAAGAATAATATACTTATTTCATTACTGAGTTGATTTTAAGTTTGATTAAAGCTTGCTTTAATTGGAAGAAAATATTACTACAACAGTCCTTTTTGGCACTTTGTGTTTATACACCAAACAAAACTTCGAGCCAACTTTATATTTTATCCGTACACATTTTTCAGAATATTTCATAAAAAATTTAAGAATGATACAACATCAAAACAAGAAGCTTTATAATTACACAAACCTTCAAATGAATCATCGCCTTCAGACATCAGTTCATCATCAGAACAGATCTTCAAAAGATTGACAAGCATTTCAGTGACTATAATGATAAAAAACACAAGTCAACTGTATAGAGATCCTTTATTTGTACATAAAGATATTAATTATATGAATGACTATTAACACAAGTGAACTAAAAGATATTAATTACATGAATGACTATTAACACAAGTGAACTATTAAACTGTATTATGTAATCTATTTCAGATAATAAAAAGCAAACACTTTCCAAAAAGGAATTTTTGTTTATACCCCTATATATAATCATTCAGTATCTGGTCTTTTGAACCAAATAACCTCCATGTAGTATAATACAGCTACATATTTAACCAAGTAAAAGTACCCAAAGAATTTTAAATTTGTATCATATGAGCCAATGGTTTATTGCATAATTATAGCCTATGACCAGCACCAATATATTATTAATTGCTTTGGTGAAAAAATTCTACATCTGGTAATTATTTTTTCAAGACTTGTAAACAAGTGATCTTTCATATTTTCTAATCAAAAGAAATTTTGCTTATAATTGCATAGTTTTCTTTCATAATTTTCACAAACTGTTGGTAATTAATTTCCTCAAACATACTGCTAGACATATTTAATTTTGTAAACATTTTCATGGGTTTCTACGAACCAACTCAACTTACCTTTTTCTCCAACAAACGGTAATGACCAAGTGAATACATCCATGAAGTTTGGCAGCCAGTAGGGATGTGCAGAACAGTTAAACTGCCTAATGTTCATGACATTGTTCTCATATTTAGGACAGCAGCTGAAGTTCATAAGAAAGTACACATCTTACTGATGTACTTTAAAAAGGTCAAGAAACACAAATTCAACATTTTTCACAAGTATATATTCATTCACTCAAATTCTTTACAATGTTGTAATTTAAAATGACTAGACACAGTGATGTCAAAAATATTTTCTCATTAATGAAGTCATTCTTACAGAGAACTGCTAGGTTTTTCAAGTTTTATTCATGGTAATTAAGATTATTTCAATTAATAATTCAGCTTACCTTTATTATTGTACACATCTAAGTAGTTAGGTGCAGAGAAAATAGTGATAAGAGATGGAAAACCAGTTGTTTGACTTTTTCTATACATACGATACCTAAAATAATAATGCAAGTAGTCTTTCAATAGCAACATTCATATTACAGTAACAGTGACAGATAGCTAACATGTTTTGAGACCATTTTAGAGAGAAATCATTGTTATTTCAAACTGATTTTATAATAAATTTAATAACTGTAAAAACAGACCTACTGTGCTAAATTTTCACAGAGTTCTGTAATATCACAGCCAAACAAAACTACAGCAACACTGTAGCCAGTTACACTGATCTAGTGGTGAATAATGTTAATGTTCAGAACTACTTACTCAAAAAGTAAGGAAATTCAGAAAAAAAAAAGCTTTTACAAACCAACCAAGTTGAAGATACAATCTCAGTAACATAACTTCTTTAAAAAAATTTTATTGTAAGTATAATGCATCTTAAACTAACACTTTCATACTGATTATCATACTTATTTAATAAGACATTTCATGCTAATTTAAGGTATAGTTCATAGTTTTCTACTCCTAAGCTTTAAGCTGGTTCATGATAAAGCAAATTTTGTAGTATTCTAGTCACAAGTTTTAAGATGTTTCACGTTAAAGCAAATTTTGTGGTTTTCTAATCATAAGCTTTAAGATGTTTTATGTTAACTCTCTCTACACAGGCTTGGTTGAATTGGCTGACCACATGACCACCTTGTACTTGTATAGTCATTATGATTTTGATATTACTAATTTTTAATAGTGTGTGTATTATCACAAAATTTGAGACTTTCAGTAAATATTAGAAGTTTTTACATACAAAAAATCAATTATTTAATGAAGTATTTTAATAAAGATTTGTCCGTGGATATATCGACTTTTTATTTTTACTTGTTCAAGTGCAAAGTGATTATCATGTTAAGATTAAAAATACTTTTCTTCATCTCAAAAATCTCAAATTTCATTTGTGTAATCTCTAAAACTTCCTAAATACATTTCAAAAAAATTTGTTTAGTTATTTTTTCTACCCTTACTATACAAGGTTGGTCAATTTGACTGACCACCAAAAAAAAAAATATATATATATCAAAATTACAGTTTTTTCCTTCTAGAGTGACTTCAAATTGTAACACGAAACTACATTTGTTTATCTTAAGTAGCTTTAAACTCATAACAGTATACATCTATTTATATCAAATTTTATTTTCATAGCCCTTTGAACTATGTCTAATTACTATTCATGCCATTATAAGTTGTAACTCACTTGTGGAACATGTGGGTCACATTACAATATCAAATTATATTACCCACGAGTTACTCTAAGCTGCTTACATTCATGCCTCAATATATATACTTATGTATTAATATACTTCTGAAAATATATATCCAATTTTTTTCCCTACATTCTATTTTTCAATATACAAAAATATCACAGTAATTAAGCACTACCTCCTCTCCTCCCCTTCACGAGTCGCCACGCACGGCAAACACGTGGGTGGATGTTTAGATCCCAGAGAAAGTAACTGAAAATACAGAACCTTCCCTGGGAGGTCCCCTCACCACATACAGGAATCCACGTCGAGGGGAACTGTGAAGTAATTGGTAACTTATCTTGACACACATATAGTGATATTACTAATGTAAATAAGGTACAAAGTCATGGAGATCACCTTACAGGACTCCTTAGCCACCTGATGAAATTCTACTTTGACTCTTGCTGTTTATACAAGAGGGGATTCTTTATCCACCACCTGAGCAACTGGCTCATGACTCCCATCTCCAACATCCTCAGTAAAATACCCTTTTTTCAGTCAGAGTCAAGGGTTTGAGTGAGGTCAAAGAAAAATAAATTTCTAGTCTAGTGCTGATAGAATAATAATACAAGTCAAGAAAGCCAAGTTTAATATTGTGTAAACCAGAAAAGATTGTTTTCAACTGTATTTATTTATGATTTTAAACAAGCTTCCACGAATAATTTTATTTGTTGCTATTACCTCCAAATTTGAAGGTGTAAAAAAAAACACTCAATTACATTTAACTCAATGTAATAAATAAATAAATCAAATGTGTGGCAATTTATTTTTAATACAGTACTGATAGAATAATAACCCAAGTCAGGCAAGCCAAATATGGTACGAGCTTTCACTATTTTATTATGAACTTTGTAGCAATATTTTCAACTTTGTATAAGTACTTATGAAATATTTGTTTAATAAAGAACAAAAACAAGGTAATGAGAACTTGTTTTTCTTGGGTAATTGGTATTTTTATAAGTTTGACATTTGAAAAATACCTAAAATCCTGGTGGTTGAGTGGTGTCTGGGCACTGCAACACACCACTTTGGCCTTGAATTCCTGTAGACTGGTGGCCTTGGGGTGGCCCCCTAGGGTCAATCGGCTGGTCAACTGAGTACCAGTGTTGGGCGTTCTCAATGGGTGTTGTGGACATCGTTTCTGATACTGGTGTTTGGGTATAGTGGTCACGAAACCCTGGTGTTGCTGCAGTGTCCTTGTTTGACATTGTAGTGCATCCCCTCGTAGGACTCCATGGCGGGTGGGGTCAGTGGGCACTGAACCTCTCTCTTTAATTATGGATCCCTCCATTCCAAATAAAAAAAAATTTAAAAATCTGCCTAGAAGATTCTGAACAGCAGTCTCTATCACAAAGTACACCTGCTCCTCGCTTTTTGATCCTGCATTCACTGTCTGATAAATCTTTAGGGCAAATGTCTCCCTTTTTTATTCAGAAGGGCTTAGAGGGGCTTGCTGGCTCTCCAAAGTCAGTTAAAAAGCTACGTTCTGGAGACATCTTAGTAGAAACTTCCCATCCTAAGCACAGTGAACTTCTCTTAAATTCGAGGGCCATTGGGGATATACCCATTGAGGTTACTCCCCATGCTTCCTTGAATTCCTCACGAGGAGTTACTGTTGAGAGGGACTTGAAATCTATCCCCGAGACGGAGATCCTTGCTGGTTTCTCCAACCAAGGAGTTTCGGCAGTTCGAAAAATCTCCACTCGTTGAGATAGAATTATGGTGCCGACCTCAGTTTTGATTTTGACGTTTTCATCACCACATCCACCTGCCGCCATTAAGGCAGGTTATTTGAACTGTAAGGTACAGCCCTATATTCCCAACCCTCTCTGATGTTTTCAGTGTCAGCGGTTCGGTCACTCAAAGACATCCTGTCGTGGTTCTGTGACGAGTGCTCGTTGTGGTGGCAAGGACCATGACTCCTACTAGTTCAAAGTGGACCCTCACTGTGTTAATTGTAGTGGTTCCCACCCCTCCTACTTTAGGTCTTAAAAGTTTTGATATTTAATCTATTTATTTCATGCAAACCAAATATTGATAAAACTTATCTCAAAAGAAAATTTAAAATCTCAATATTTCCATTTTGATGTAAAAATCACAAATATATATTTTTTTAAATTGATGTCGCATGTATTCTTCTTGTAATACCCGATATGGCCGAGTGCGAAAGGGTTTATGGAATGTTTTGTAATCTGTGTGTTTGCAATTGTTCGCACAACATCAGGGAAAATCGTTCAGGTCTCAAACTCACTTTAATACACAGAAAACTTCTTTCTATTTAGGTTATATTTGTAATGACGAATGGAATCCATGTAACAAGATTAAACATAGTGGATGTCTCGGTGATCATGAGCATAGGCAGTTTGGGAGCAGAATTCTTAATTTTGCATTAGTGTATAATAAGATACAAGTGTCTTAATATACGTGATAAGAAACACGATAGACTGTAGTTTCTTTTTTGTTTCTTTCTTCTTCTTCTTTTTTACATTTCTTTGATTAGTCCATTACATATTTCAAATCAAAATTGTGTTAAAATAAGATGAAAGATCTATCATTTGTTTGCCACACATCACAACCCAGGAAACCTTTCATTCAGTACTAGAACTCGTTATCTGGACTGGACACAGTAATAGCCGAAGGTGTATCTAAAATGACATTTTTCATAGAGTACAAATAATAAATGAATATTCTTGTTACTGTGTTGAACGCCGAAAACTTTAAAAGTAATGGTACCAACAAGCCTTATCTTCATTATGAAAAATCCCGCTTAACGCCAACATTTATGGTGCTGCATATAAAATAGCATTTTAAAATCGACGTTTGGCTGCTATCCTGTTCATCACAACTGATGAGTTCTGGTATTGAAACACAAGGCTAGCTGATGAGTGATGTATGGCAACCAAAAGTATCGACTCCATTGCTTCGCTAGCCTTCGACGTTTAATACGTTATAATTTTATTTCAATTTCGCCATAATATTATCCAAACACCTACATCTGTCAGCTATTAGTAGTGACTTGAGACGAAAACGCCCAGAATAACAAGTGTTCTCATTCTCAACGTATAGATAGATGGTTTAGGTTAAACTTAAGTCGTTTATAAATAGGTTTGAGTGTCTGAGCTGTGCTAACTGACATTTAAATGCAAATATGGAATTCGTAATTTAAAAATGTAACAAACTTAGTATTGTTTGTTTTGTTGAATTTCGCCCAAAGATACTCGAGGGCTATTTGTGCTAGCTATCCCTAATTTAGAAGAGATAGACCAGATGGAAAGCGGCTAGTCAACTCCAATTGAACACTTCACAAATATTAAGATTTTTGGCGTGATTAAAATATTGTCTGAATAAAACGTTATTTGAAGAAACAAAATTAAAGCTGACGTGAATTTTTTGGAAAACGAATTAAAATTCCGTAAACAGTTTAGACATGTTTATGTCATACTACTCGGTATACCAAATGACAATCTTCTACTTACTAATAAAGGCATTGGAAAATGAAAACAGTTGATGGTGAAATGTGTTTACTTGTAATTGTGAAAGAAAATTTAATCATTTCCTCATTTTCTTGTTATTTCAATTTCAAAAATTTAGAAAGAAACAAAATTTCGTGTATTCCCGAAACATAAAAAAATATGCGTTTGTCTTTTTTTTTAATTGAAGTGATAGATTTAATGTCTGGCTATCAATTGAATTACTCTAACATTCAAATCAAAGGTACGTCCATCCTGCTTATTTTTTAAAAAAGTCCCATCAAATATAGATCCAAAAGGACTTAAAGAAATCCATGAAGACAGTTGT